ACTACTACTACTACTACTACTACTACTACTACTACTACTACTACTACTACTACTACTACTAGCAGTAGTAGTAGTAGTAGTAGTAGCCGATGATTTTGATGTCCAAAAAGTGTGTCGTGCAGTCTGTTCATGATATTGTCATTGGTGTTATGATAAAAGCAAGTTCATAGTTCCTTCTGGCAGTCTCTCGTCCACTTCAGAAACATAAAACTACCGATTTTAATCCATTTTCAACTTTTTAGCTAATTTTGCAATTAATTCAGAAAAATTACCTTTCTTGAACTATGCCGGCACCTCTTCTGCTAAAACGAGATTGGCAGCGAGATCACGTATACTTGGTGCAGTTCCCTCGAGCAGGATGTATTCCAAGTTTATCAATGTTCGCCTTAAAATTGGAAACTTGGCTTCGGATGACTAAAATTTCATATTCGGTAAGGAAAATTATTATTCAGTAATTCTTATGAGAGATTTCGAGTTAAAACCAAATATGGAGAATTTAGATCATATTGATCATATTGATTTTTGTTCAAAAATTTTAATATAACGCGGGAAAAGCACCGAGCGCACCAAACGGCGCTGCCTTCATTTTTATTTGTCGCTATAATAAGCAAATAATGTTACCTTTTGCTCAGTTCTTCGGTAAATGCCGTTACTGTTTGAGCAAGCAGTCGAGAATAATCATAAATTTTGTGAGGGGAAAATCCTTAACAATATATGATTCTCTCTCTAATCGAAATTCTAAAGATTTGAAGAATTGAATTAGTGGATACAGTGTCCCAAGTCCTGACTGTTACATTAAGTAATCGCAAAATGTGATTAGCATTCAACTACTTTGAAATGCAGTTTTTTGCTTGATATAGATCCTAAGGTTTTCAAAACTTTGCCCATACATTTTTCACCTCAGTGAGTATAACTTCATTTGTCGAATATTTAACAGTAAAAAAAAATTGTTGGGTGGCTAGCCAAAGCAAAAGCTGTTGGGATAAATCTTTTTGTCAACTATTCTTTTTTCATGCATTTCTATGAGGGAACGAAAAAACTACCAGTTTCCATTCTTTTGACACCTTTATTACAGAATGAATTAGAGTCGTACTGGAAATGAATTGATAGATATGAGTTAAAGAGTTGTACAGTGCATTTGGATTTAATCATGATTTTTGCAGAATATCAGCAATGAATTCACTAAATTTTCGTCCAAAAAACAAATCCCATTTATCGAACTGAATGGACGACAAATACCGGATAGTAATTATTGCATTGAACACCTTGCTCGAGTCTTTAAGGTTCATTTCCTCAAGCATTTTCTCATCTTTGTCTTCACAAATTTGTGCAAATTGAATTAATTTACATTGTTCATGGTGTTGCTTACAGTGCTGCACCCTTCTGCAAGTCATTCTCCGGTTTTCTTTTCAGGAACATCCGAAACAAGTATTGAAACAGGTTTTGTCTAGCATAAAGGATGTTTTAGTTCTCGAATTCCTTCATTGTATTCTTTTTCTAATTTTTAAATCACCGCAAAGTTAAATGCCGTTTTAGATTGATTTGGAAGAGCGATTGAATCCAATTGAAAAAGCACAAGCTCGAGCCTTTACTTGTCTTCTCGAGGAATCTATAAGATGGTAATTTAAGAAAGTTGCATTTCAAAATGCCTTTCGAAATATAATAGTTTTTTGAAGTTGTCGGGCTTTTCATTCTCATAAATGAGCAAATGTTATTTTATGAAATTTCAATTAAAATGACTCTTTGTTTATAAGTTTATCCTTTCTAATTATTTTATTCCAATCGAGTAAGATATATTACTAAAGAACGTTTCTTTCTCAAAGAATGATGAAAGTACCCATAAGTTTTACTTTTCTTTCACATTGCCTATGCTTCATTTAATCAAAGTTTTGCCTTGAGAATTTTAATTAGGCGAAAAATGATTTGAAGCATAAAGGTAATCAGTACAGGATTGTCAATAAATAAAGGATAAATCGTTGGTTCTTTTGGGAGTTCCCAAAAGTTTATTTATTTCCAATAGAATTCCTCGATGCTGTGTTGTATTGTAGGATCATTCTTTATAATCGAGGCAAAAACAATAAGTTCTTGGCAACAGAGGAAGGCTTGATCAAGCACTATAGAGGTGCTAAAAAAACTTTCTTCCAATATGTATTTGTCGAACAGTTGCGGAAAAAGGTATCTTTGTAGTGAAAATAGCAATCTTGCTTACTTGTTTATCATGAATGGTGTGGGAAGACAGTATGATGGCCAAATGAACTACGGCACTGATTAAATGTTGTCATTAACTACAGTGAGGACCGAGTTCAAGATATTTTATAGATTTGGAAGTTGTGTTACTGGCAAGGAATTGGCAGGCACACAATTGATGAAGTTGAAAACATTGCAAAGAAAGATTTAACGGCGCTGTCCGTTTTCCTTGGTGATAAGCAATACTTTTTTGGTTCAACACCCACCACGGTAACTTTTTTCGTGAAAAATTATTGAAGTCTAAAATTTCGTCAGGTACACTTCATCGTATTGTATTAATTACTGAAGTCAGATAGAACATTGAAGATTGTTTAATTTCAAAATTAAAACCAGCACTTGTTTTGGACTTCTAAACTTTAGTAGGTCCGATGCTATAACTCAACAAATCATCGAAACTGTTTATTCAGTATTCGTGAGATTATTTCAGCTGGATGCGATTGCTTTCGGCAATTTGGCCCAATTATTTTATACACCGATGGATAGTGAAGTTTTACGGAAATATATGGAAGAAAACACTCCAAATTTAGTATCTTACATTCAGCAAATGCGTGAAATGTACTGGAAAGATTGGGATGAAGCGTGTCAAACATTATCTCTTAATACTCAAAATGATACTCTCATTTGCAGTGATGTCAAGAGATGACATTAGCAACGAATAGCATTGTAATTAAGTAAACATTTATTTATTACTTACAGTTAAACTTATTTGCTAATTGTAAATTTTGCTCGACATTCGTGTATAAATAAAGAATGCCGAGAAAAAAAAAGAACATCAGTAAAGTACGGATACCTAAGCAAACAGGTGGATGTCGGAGCATTGTGGGTTAACTTTATGTGCGATTATTAAGGCTACAAAAAATTAGGCTTAAGCCTAGTCATTGTGCAGAATGCTTTTTTGTTAACCTTCGATAACAAAATTACATTTATCTAGATAGCTGGATTAGGGCTTTTGTGTAAAATGGCAGCAGCTCTTCAGAAGATGGAAAATGATGTGCGCATACGAACATTTGGAAATTAATGATTGCAAAATCAGCAAGAGTCGCTGATCGATCGATAGCTGATCCTTCCCTGTTTCCGTCGATTATACTTGATTCTTTGCCCTTGTTCACTTTTTGGAACACAATAGTACTAATCCTATATTATATTCCCTCCTGTACTCATTAAAGTTCGGATCATATTTACTTTTCATTTTAACAGAAAGGTTAATTCTATACAGAATCACTTGCCTACTGCTAACACCTGTCTTTCAAGTAATAAACAGGTAGTAAGGGCAGTGCAGTGTGACATGTTAAGACTCGGTTGCGCTATATATACAGTGCATCAAAAGTGTCAAAGTTCATAGTCTAGTTTAGCAATTAGAATAGCCACTTAGATGAGTCTTATTTAGTGCACCAGAAAACAGAATTTTATCTTGAAGATCTCTTCTCCAGATATTCTCTTCTAAAACCTCATCTCAATATTCATTGTTGTCGCATACAGTGGACTACCCACGCATATCCTCACTTGGCTTCCAATCTATCATGGTCCGTCCCAGTTAGACAAGTAATTCCTTCCTCACATCCACTTATTCAAGTCCTCCATTTCAAATTACCGCTTCGGCCAACCTCGCCTGCAGGAAAAATCGCATTTTTAGAATACATCTGAAATGTTGGTGCCAACCTCATGGGATGAGGGACGGGATAAGAGGTGCGATGGCGTGGAAACAATCCGACTTGATGCGGGTGGATGTCAGAGGCGTTTCCACCAGACAGTTGATCAGGAAGGGTTTCTCCCCGAGGGATTCAAAAAAGGGCCTATTGGCTGAGGATAAAGGGTAGGCTGCCGTTGCTAATTCTATCTATGAGAGGTTTAGGCAGGGAACAGAGTGGAGTTTGGTGAGAATCATGCGTGAAAATTCGATACTTGTAGGATGTCGAAGATGACGGAAGAACGACATCGGTGGTCTCAAAAGCTTGAGAATGTGCTGGAGGATCGTGATGCTTTGGAAGCATTCAAGAAGTGGATGAAGAATGAGTCTTCGTTAGCCGAACATCCCATCAACCTGCATTTTGCTATAATAGCTTACAAGTAAGTACCATTAGAAGCGCAAATATCTGACATCCTTCAGCTTCGATATTTGTAGATTGAATACATTACAGCTGAATGTTTAGCAAATTTGGCATAAGCTTCAGATATCGCGTGAAATTGTACAATTCTGACAAATATCGATGCTTCTTTATACTTTACACTTGAAGCTTTTAAAATTCCAGGTCCTTTAAAATAAAGTACAGGCTTCCTCACAAAACATCATTTCTCTTCTAAACTTGGCACAGTGCTGGTGACATCTCTGCTAGACATTCAGTTCTTCATATTAGACCTATACTGTAGTTCTAATAAGGGTAGATATTCTTTTAATAGCCATTAGCAGGTAGTCAAAGTTCACACCGAGTGTCTATGTATATATTTTTTTTTGTTCTCCTTATAACTTAATCTCATACTGTTGTTTAAAATGTTTAAGAAATATGTGTGCGATGAAGAATGCTCGTGCCGCAGAACTTGCGCGTAGTTTGCATCAGAAATACATCAGTTTAAAAACCGGTGTTTGTTCATTTTTGCATGAGGTACTATACTTTTGCTGAACATTATTAATTCCGATCAAAGTAACCTTTTACTTTTGCAGCCACTAAGCTAGATCGGCAAGAAAATAATTTGAATGGAAAAATGATCAGCATCAAGTGATCATCATTGCTGAACGATTGAGTAATTCTACTGGGGAACGAAATTAGACAGTTGATGTTGTTTCTAGTATTTTAGGATCTTCGACGAGAAGTGAGCTTCCGAGTTCATACTTTTTCGTCTGGTGAACCGGATCCAACGGTATTCGACTGTGTAGTTTTGCCGGTAGAGCAGTATTTGCGGCAGCAACATGCTCAATTTGTTTCTTCCGAAGAGTTTATTGATGCCTACAATCGAGTGGAGGAATATATACCGAAACCACCCCGTCTTCCTTCTTCATTGACGTCAAGCCGCAAGCAGCGGAAATTATATCCTTGTCAACCAACTCTTACTGCCGAAATGTTGCTGAAAACACAACATGAACGGGAAACCACTTTAGGTGAAAGGTTAAATTTTCGATTTTTTTTCCTTTTTTCGATTAAGCAGATAATTAATAAACTGTGGTGTCACGTTGCAAAATTTGGATTTTCATCATAAGTCTGTCCATATGTCGTTTACCTACAGTATCTTTTCTGTCTTTGTAGAATGCTTTGGAGACTAGATAGCGTCATTGATTCATGTTGCAGTGAAGTGGAAAAGTTATATCGGCCAGTAATGAAAGCACCATACATTTGCAATGCAACAACTAGTAAAAATGATTCTGCAGTATCGTCTACCTTTTCAAGTGATGCTAACGGTCAGCATCCAGCCGTAAAATTAAGTACAATCCGAGAGGAGCAACTAAAAGGCAATCCAGCGACGCATACATTAGCGGTATCTTGAAGTGTAGTTTTTGATTTTTGGACCATTAGGAAACAAACTTGAAGAGAATAGGAATTTTTGCTGAACTTATACTGTTGTACTTTGAGTATGAAAAACCTGCATTAGTTGCATGCTGCAGTTAAAATTCCAAGTGCAATTTTTTTTTTGCCAATTCTATATTTATGAAAGAAAGGCAAGAAATAATCATGTTGTCAGAGGGTGGAGAGAGTTGATAGTGGACCGATGGTTATTCACTGCACAGAAGAAGGTCGGCGAGCTTTTGCTTCACTTCTAATCGAAAAATTGAATGTTTTAAGTGCCCGTCGGAAGAGGAATGATGTTATGAGCCAGCAGCTTCGTGCTATTGAGGTGAACTTATATTGCTTCCGACAGAAAGTAAAAGTGATTCAACAGAAATTTATCTGTTTTTCTTTTCGTATTTTCAAGACCTTCAAAATTATTCAAATAAACTGACTGCTGACATTTCTTGCAGAGTCGCAAGTGCTCCGCACGCGAAGTTGTGAATGATGTTGAGCCAACAGCTGCTGAAGAAGACGACGAACTGGAACGATATGTACGGCAAAGAATGGCTGATGATTCTAGCAAACCATCACCCTCATATCATTCCCCGGATTCCCTTAACGCTCAGTCACTCCGTTTCCGACGACGATCACCAAGTAAACTTACTCTAAATTTTAGTTAAACATAATTAAGATATAAAATTAGTTATAGTGAAATTTGGTACCGTTTTTAATATCTGTTCTAATCCATCACTTTCTAATATCTACTTATAATGACACTTGCATCCCACATTTTTAGGATCAAGTTCACCGGAACGCTTTCGACAGTATGTGGCTTCACCTATAGCTAATGTATTTTATGCACCTAATCCCTATAGCACAAATGGCTTTGCGCCACCACCAATTAGTCGACACAGTCGAATGACAAATGTTAATCCCATTATACTGAAAGGAGCACGGTGAGCTAGTTTTAAAAAAATAGTGAATTGTCATTCATTTCTTTCCCGTTCGCTAAGGAATGGTGAGGAGCTGGTAGCTGTTTTGCATGTGTAACAAATTTATTAGTGCTAATTGGACACTGTCAACAAAATGATCATCAAATTCTTATATAAGTTTGTTACTTCTTGGTGATACTTATCTACACCAGTTAATAAGAAAGCGCTGGTTGGAAACCAGTAAGTTATTTTTGTGTTTTCCCATTAACGAAGCTAATAACTCGTATGAGAAAAACTGTTAAGACATTCAACTAATTAGGTAGAACCTGTTTATATTTCTTAATGTTGAATATATTTTTTGGTCGAAAATGAGCAGATTTCACAGTACCAATTTGTTGGATTTTCTAGATGTGACATGAAATCCATGGCTATTTATGATACGTCGGGTATCGAATCGATGGCTCCATCATCCATAAATGAACGTGATGAAGCAGCACGTGCTGCTATTTTTCAAAAAGCGCGGATGCTTTCATATGTTGGTTGTGCAAGCAATAGTAGTTCTGCCCGTAGAAGTAGCCACAAGCAGCATCACGATTTCAGCTCATTATCGTATGTTGGCAGTTATAGCATTTGTGGCATTTGAAGATATTTCTTCTCGCTGTCTGGTTTTTTTTTTTTCCAGTTATTTCCCACTTTATTTTCTATACTATAAGTTACTATGCTATTTATTGCTCAGGCGTTTACGAGGAGGAACGGACCCGAAGCAACTGATGACTATTAGTTATAAAGAGAAAGGACGTGTGCCGGTCGTTGCGCATGTTCCAACACATCCAATCACATTTCGAGAATTTCGTAAATACTTAGGAATTTCGTCAAAATCAAGTTTGCAGTTAGCTTTTTGTGCAATTTAAACTCATTAAATGCAGAGAAAAATCCTGTCACTTCAATATATATTTTATGCAATGCTAGATTGCATAAGTTCTTTTTCTTGAAACACTTATGAAGCACATTCTGTTTTCATTGCTTCAGCCGTTTCAGATTTTATTTCAAAACTGCCTGTGAAGATGGTAATGCACCCTACCAGTTGCTGCTTGTGAACGATGATGCCACAGTACTGCCAGTATACGAAGGTCGCATAACGGCTGAATGCAAATCAGTCTCTGATTCCGAATAGAAATCTCTTTGCTTGTTGTTTATCCATAATTGGAATATTGACTGGGGATGTTAATTGCTTGTTCTCTTTCCTAGGTATTAAATGTAAATCTCCTCGCATTCTCGAACATTGACAGCTACTGCTTCAAACAAAAAAGTTTGGAAATTTTTTCCTGACTTTTATAGAAAATCGGGTTAGATTTTTTCGTTGAAAGTTGATATGAAATTTTATAGTTCTCTTTATTTAAACCGGAGTAACTGCTTGCTTCTTGTATTTATTTCATTCGCTCTCTTTCCTCATCTCGCATGTGTTCATTATTTGTTACTTGTCTTTTTCTTTTGTTCCATCCTTCGTATTTAAGGAAATACGTCCTTAAATCTTTGTTCAAATTATTATTGTAAGCTATCGAGTTGGAGTAAGCAATCGACAAGGTTGCGAAAATTTCGTTTTGCTTTTTAGTATCCGTATTGAACATATTGTTAAAGGTATCTTTAAATAGTTGGGCTTCTCACATTTTGTAACTATTTTCTTCCTGCTTATTGTTTTATAGAACTTGTGATTGTAAATGTCTTTGAAACATAAGATTTCCAAATTTATTAAACTTCCAGCAGTAGAATTTTATGGAATTGTTTTATGCTTATAAGTCATCGGATTATATTACTTTTACGGTGATTCACTATCTCGTTTTTGTGCTCTCCTGTAATTCTGTGTTATACTGCTATTCTTAGAGCTCAGCATAAGTTTATTGTTGTCGTAAAGTTCATTTCCAGATGGATTTGCCTTTTGGACCTGTATTTCGTGTATGCTTGCGACAACTTTTCCTCTGCTAAGCCTTTGCTGGTATTTTTGTTGGATTTCTACGTTATTGTGTTCTTTTCTTGCATTACTGCTTCGGTATGACTTCGGCTGTCAGTTAATAGTTTTATAAATTTTAATGTAATGTGATCTGGAAATTTTGTTGCAATTTGTTTTTCACATTTTCACGCAGCGGTAAATCTCATCGAAATCGACCCGTGGCACGATTCAGCTTGTTTTCTCTTCGTTTTGTTTCGTTCGCTACAGAGGAGGTTACTGTTGAAATGTTGTACATTTGTTAGTATTTAGAGATGCTTTAGTTCTTCAACTGCTTCAAATAAAAGTTGCAAAAACGGTCTCTTGATTTTTAATTAATTTTGCATCATGTTTCAACCAATATGAATTGCTTATCGAAATTTATGTTTCGGGTAGAAGTTTGGTGGAATATCGTCTGAATCCCCTGTGATATAATACCGCTTCGAAGCAGGCATTCTTACAGTACTGAAATTGGCACGAAGATTTTCGTGTTGTCCCGTGACGGTGATTTATCTAGTAAAGGGGTCGAAATAGTGACAATGTGAAAAAGATAATAGCACTAAGCTTTGCAGAATGTTCTGGGAGCTTTTATTCACTTCGTCTAACGCTAAATCTGATGACTCATTATCTTGTGACAAGTCTTGTTTGTTAGATTTCATTATAACATTCCCCTGACATATCTATGAGATTAAGAGGTTAAATTAGGGGAGGAAAGCGTGTGTGTTAGTGTACCTTGAGAATTTAAGGTTACTGTTTCAGGTAATGAATAAAGACGTTAGCATTAGTGAGAATGTTTTGAGTAGGCAGGATAATGAAAAGGAAGAAATCAAAGAAATCCAGGAAAAAGAAGAAATTGTCAAAATGTGGAAACACATGGACGAGAAGCTGGAAGTGAAAGCCAAATCACTTAACCTTACAGCTATTAATGTCAAGTCTATATTGCACGTAAGTTCTTTTTCTTTAATATCCAGCATTTGAAGGAATGATATTATTTCTTACTGAATGAATACATGGACTACAGGACGATAATTTTGATTGGAAATATATTATTTCTAAATGATTTGTTTTCATCTGTATCAGATTTCCGCTGTTTCAGAATTTTTGAAATAATAAGGATTTCATTCTTGAAAAAAAAATAAGGATTTCATTTCTTCATGATGCTTGTTTGCAGCATATGGTAAAGAATCCACAAGTTATATCTGTTATTATGGGATTGAATAAAAGCTCTGCGATTGCAGACCTTAAGCTGACGAGGTCAAGAACAAAACATTTGTGCGCACAAGAAATGGTAAATCATACATTAGCTAGTAAAGTGAGCATATAATTACAAACATATGTAAATAGTAAACTTGTGTTATTTTTTTCGTCTTCATAATTTGTCGTGATTTTTCTGTTATCTTTATTGAAAATTCTTGTTCAACGTTTGTTCTCATCACCCATTCTTATTCGTATCAATGATTTTTCTTTGCAGCACATTGGTGTGAAAGAAGGCGATGTCGTGACAGTATCTCGCGCTTCACGAACATTTCTTGATGTTAATTATAATTCTAGTGAAGATGATGATGATTATCTCCCTGAGCAGGTACACTGTGTTGTTTTTATATTTTGCATTCGTTTCTGTAGATAGAATTTCAAAATTTTGTTTGACCCTTTTTTTAATTAAAAAATATAACAAAGCCAGTTGATAAACTTCGCGAATGGGGCTGATTTGTCATAAAGTTTTACATACATCTTTAATTTCGATTTGTGTTTTCAGGATGAGGATGTGAGTGAAGAAGAAATAGAAAATGAAGCAAATACTACGGAAATTTCGTTTGATGTTTTGAATAAGGCGCTTCAGGTGTACTTTGTTGATCTCTCTACATTAGATAGAAAGATTCTAAATGAAGAAAAGGTTTTTATATAATCAAAGAAATTTATAAAAAACTATGATAAGTTCGTTTTCTTAAAGGTAGGAATTGGTGATGATGATGTAGCACCCGCATTGCATACACGTTCAAAACATGAAAATAGTATTTATCCAGATGATGTGCCAAGATTTGGCGATGATGTTTTACTGTATACTGCAGTGGATGATCCAGAATATGTGGAATTCATTTCAAATCTGAATGATTCCTCAAAATATGATTTTGATGGTATTCGTTTATCGTTATCATTTCGATTGGCTGTATTATCACCGCATCTCTGAAAGTACTAGCCGCATAATGTTTGTTTATGAGTACTCGTTTTTATGAGATATTGTAGAGGCCGAGGATCCGGAATATAATTTTCTTTCGGATGCAGATGCCGAAGATATAATAGAAGAGTATGAAGTACGGAAAGATCGTGCCACAGAAATACCTTGTAAGTATTCTCACTTTTATTCTCAAACTGTGTTACTGTATACCAAGTTTTGTTGTGAAGAATTAATCATCAAATTTGAACGATTCTTTTCACTGCAGTGCGAGAAGTTGAGAATTTGTTGCAAGACTTGTTGGAGGCTCGTTTGCTGCCTTCGCCTGAACACTTGGAGCAAAGTGTTGATTCCGTAAGGGTGATTTTTAAAGTATTTTTTCACGATAAAATTAATATCGGTCATGTGATCTTTTTATTACATCATGATGTTTTTATAATAGTTATCGATACTCAAGGATACAATTGAAATTCATTTCTAAAAATTTAAACAGTATCCAGTTTGACTGAAATACTTCTCATTGTGTTTTCAATTTTTGAAGTAAGTTATTTTGCAAATTATACTTTTTTAGGATGAAAATAAATCATGCCAATCGGTTAGGCAAGATGACCATAAGCCAAATATGAGGAAGGCCAAAACATTGTTAACGGGATCTTTATCAGGAAATATTGAACCAATCACCGTTCTTGTGGATGCATCCCTGGATGATTTTCAGAAAGTTTTAGCAGGGTCTTCATCTCTTTTATGTGCTAGTGTTGAAAATCCTCCTTTCTTTTCGTTTCATGAACTTCAGCAGCTTATCACGCAATTAGAAAAAGTAAGTGTTGGTTCCCATCTTTTTCTTTGATTTTGATAGAAGGCTTTAAATGATACTGTCCTTTCTTTTTAATACTTGTCTTACAAAATATTGAAATTTGAGTCTTCCTGACTGGTGTTTTTGCTGAAATTTAACAGCTTCAATTTATGAGCGATAGTGTTGTTGAGTAACTAATTATGGTAATTTTAGCATGTGCAACTACTAACTCAGTTTGCAGTGGGTTGTTATTTCAATAAAGCAATGATCAAAACATATAATGCTTTTCAAGTTATGATTGTAAGTTTCAGTTTTTTTTCTTTTTTTTCTATAATAGGTGGTTTCAAAACCTTTCATTGTTTGACAAGACTGATGCTGACTGAATTTTCATCATTCATAGATTTTGATGAGTTTATTAATTTTTTTAAAATGAGTTAGTAACAAATTATTTCCATCATCCTGTGCAAAACTTTCTCCATTATACATTGTTATGTTGTAGAACGAACTAAACGATTACTGTTTGGAGCGTCCGGAATATTCTCTCTTTAATGTCATAAATTTGGAAGCTTGTATAACTACGTGCCACGATGCGATACAATGTGAAACTATCAATGATTTTATTACCTGTCGGCGAAAATCCAGAAAATGTACGTTGAGTTTTTGGGATATATAGATTTTTGGAAAGTATATAGTCATTTCAGAGAAAGGTGAGGTGATTTGTTCCATCATGTCTTGAATTTTCAGTACAGCTCCCGTTACCAAAAACAATGTTCGTCCTTTCTCGAAGTAGAGCGTTGCTGTTCCCTGATTTACTACCACAGGTATGACTTTCTTGCTCTTTTAAATAGAGGATTCTCTAGAGAGAAAGATGCGTTCTGTTTGCAGTGAAAAGATTACATTTAGGTTCGTTTGGAGATGTTTCCTGCATTTTATCCATATTTTATTCGGGAAGAAGAATGTCTTCTTGCTCTTGGTTTGTATCAGTTCGCTCATTTGAAGCAGTTTTCTGGAAAACGAAGATGTTATGCACTGATCAGTCAGCATTTATTGGCAAATAAAACACAGTCACAGATACGGCTGCATTTGAAGAATTTTCGTTGCAGCAACCAACCTCTACATACCCTCTTCGTGGTAATGATACCATTTTTGCTTGAGCTTGAAAAGTGATTTTGAGAGGTTATTCTACAAACTACTGATTCTTTAAAGCAATTGTGGAGGAAAGTCTTTTTATATAAAGTTTTGGTAAAGTAAATTTTCAGAAAGCTGAAACAGGTGCAGTAAACATGATTTTTCCTTTGGAAAACAGATCGACCGTGATTTCTGGTCCGCCATATTTGTGGCCACAGCATCTCCAGCCTAAATGGCTTAAGGTTCCTCTGTGTAAAATTTTAAATCATGAAGCCCACGATGTTCAGTAGTGCACCTGCATTTTAGTTATTGGACTAAAGTAATAATACTTGAATTTTTTTTGTAGGAGCTGGTCGATAGACAGCACTGTGATTTAAAATGTGAAAATCTTGCTCTGGATGGTTTGACTTTTGTGAAAATCGATAATGAAAAGGATTCTCTGTCAGTGGTACATATCTTTTACTGCGATGTTTTAAAATATTTTACGCTAACGAACTGTTTAGATTCCTACTCTCCGCTCAGCTGAATTCCTTAAAATCGGCAGTCGAAATTTTCCCAGACTTATTTCAGTTAATTTTGCCTCCAAATAACTTTCAGCTATGGCTGTCTTTACGGGTATTGCATCTTTACAGGATCGTTCAGATTCAGACCGTAACCCTCTTCCGAACAATCTTTCTGAATGTCGCACAATAAGTGCAGGGAATTGGGCTTTCGATAAAAATGCAACATCCGCGCCAATCACTTTGGATACTGATAACAGCCTAACTGAACATGCTTATAGCAGTGCTAGCATAAGCGGACCAGTGAACGCTGCTGTCGATAGTGGTACGAAATTTTGCATTTCTCGCTATCACACAAAGCGAAGTACGGAAACCTGCAAACATGATGAACATTCTTAGCTTAATCATTATACATAAATAGAACTTCTTCCAGAACATATCGAAATTAATGGAATTCCATTGTCACCTGTTCGCAATCTTTTGCTTTTCGCATCCACTCCAGTGTGTAAAATAACGAGCTCGTTACTCTCAGATTTACATCGTTCGATAGTTACTTCTTCTGTAAACAGAAAGTTGTCACCAACCTTGCATCACTCAGCATTTATGTCAATTGGACATAGCAGATTATCACCAAACTCATGTCCTTTGATTGTTGCATCGTCATCCAGTGGGAAGTTATCGTCATCAGCCTCACGTCATTCAAGAAATTTGTCACCTGCTAATGGAGAATTGCTAGCAGCTTCTTCACAGTACTCAACAATCTTATCGTCTGCAAATGGTATCTATTTTGATTGTAAAGTGTTTTATTAAAACTTATTATAAGTTTTTTTTTGGGTAGGAATCCTGTTAGGTCTGTTAAGCAACTTTTTTTTTTTTATTTGACAAATAATGATTCATTGTATGAAACCTGATAACCTCACTGGCTTACATTTTGCAGAAGCAGCAGATCTTGTCAGAAGCATTAGTACGGTCAAGCCAGTAAGATTCGCACCATTCAAAAAAATGCCACTGACTGAAAAATTAAATATAAATGAATGCGAAGAAAGCCTTGATTCCAATCGATATGAGATTGACATGACTGGTGAAATCGATGGAAGCGTGGGATTAAGTGTCTCGGACGGAGAAGTTGTGATGGATTCATCACCACCAGATTCCAAGAATTTGATTCATTTACAACAGTCACCGAAAAAAATAAAACGTAACAGCAGTGTTGATGCTCCGTCTCATTTTAGTACAACCGATTTTGACTATTCATGGTCAACGGAAGCTGATGTACAGCACAAAAGCGAGATGAAATGTGGCATTTCATCGTGTTCTGCTGCGGCTATTGAAAAAAGTAAAGAAGTTTATGGTATTACAAAAGATTTTTTGAAACCTTTTTTATTTATAATTCTATTAGTTATATTCGAGGCTCATAATTTTTGTTGTGGTTTCTCATTGCATTATTTCGAAACCTATGGTAAAACTGTACTGTTATTGGAAGTTTCAAAAAATTCCTGTGGTAATTTTAGATGATGATCATCGAGACTATCAAGAAATTCGGAGCGTAAGTCGGAAATCATTTCATTCATCATGTTTTGATGCAGAAACTTCTGACATGGCGGAATGTTCCTTACTAATACATAAATCATGTAATGGACATCCTAACAGTCATTAAAAGTCATTAAAAAAGTATATAGAAGTAAAATTGATTTCGGTTCAAATTTACGGCACTGTCATCACTTCGATGGGAGAGTAGAAAAACATGTATTATGGTAGTCGAGTGACGGAGTTTTTTTATAAAATCATTTTTAATAAGCTATCCTGGTCCCTGACTCATTACAATTGACTTTTTTAGTATTCGTTTGAGAGTTATCACTTTTCCAGCAAAATGGGTTTCCAGTATTCGGAGTGAAGATATGGGATGTTCTGATCCAGTAAGGTATGATTAATATCTTTATTTCTGTTAAATGGGTTGGATGTAAAACGAATTTTTCAGGAAATATTTTACACACGGACTTATAACTTTGAAAATTTTCAGAACACCAATAAACTCGTTGTACTGCAACAACCTAATGATGTTCAGCACGGAAAATAAAGCTATTCAGTGTGATCTGGCAGCTTCCAACTGTAATAGTGGGATAATTCAAATATTAGAGTGTAGTGGGAACGCCAGGGATGACATAATAATTCAAGCTATCCCAAGTGATTCAGCTGCTAACCTTATTCGGGTATTTGAACCTGTTCACTGCAATGATTCTCCTTTTGCACAAGATAATGAAGAAGATGGTGAAACAAAAAAGGGACAGAATGAGCAGACAGTTTCAAATGATGGAGGTCGAAGTAATGAGAGTGTCAGAGATGAACAGCAGTTACTGACTGGTGCAGCAGATGGTAGTAAATCGTCATTACAGGGCAATCGAGAAGTATGTTTCCCTTTTAAAGTCATTTTATTGATCAAGATTATTTTTTGCTTTATATTCAAAAACAGATAGAGGATCTGTTAAAATTACTTTATCACGTTATTTTAATTTGACTTAAAAATAATCTTGTAATGAGGTTTTAAATTTCCGTATTTGTTGCATAATTTTTAGGGTGACGGTAGTGATGGCGAGGGAAATGGATCTGTAGATGAAGAGAAGCGACGGCGACGTGTGCGCACTCGCAAAGATCGTGTAAGAGATGGATTGCATGGGATGCTTGATGCACAGCATCGTGCACTTCAAATAAAGTGTATGGCGCATGTTATTTTTAGCGATTTTGAACAACGTATGTTCATGTATCAAGATAAGGTAAGAGCTCTTTGCGAGCTGATCGCTGAAGGCTCGATGTCTCCGGAGGTGAGTAGCCTTCATTTTCTTTGTTTTACGAAGGTTTTTTCGTTTTATAGTGTAAGTCGACAAAATTCCATTTTTTTTTCAAAAAATTTCAAATTTCAGGATTTCAAGCATTTAATTTCTCGAAGTCAATTGAATTTTAGATGTTCGAAAGAATGCATGGTATTTTCGAAAGGGAACATGAACCGATATATTTCCTTCTCTCTTTTCTCTTTCCACAAAATTTACTTCCAGCAAGTGTTCTTGAAAATCCGATTCGTAAAGCATATAATGATGCCTTGGAAATGATATACAATATTGAGGTTTTCTCTTAAAGCTTACGAAACTTTTTCTGTAATTATAAATATGTTATAAGATTTTTTGTGATCTCGCACTAAGGACATGGCTGAGTTTTTGAATTACTGTAATCTTTATTAAAAAGAAATAGAAAATTTAAAGTCCATTTAGTGGATTTTTTTAGAGAGTAAGAAATACTGTATGGAGGTCATCAATCAATCAAATATTCTTGAAAGATCTTCAACTTTCTACTATCAAAAAAGTTTAAAATTACTTATTCTCCATGGTTTATGCCTACTTGTTAGCTTCTTTTCCATCCTACCAAACCTTTATTACAGGCATTTACGTCTTTTGGAAACACGAGGCTATCCGCACGCACTATATTTCGTAACGTACGTGATCTCGGTAAGAAACATTTTTATGCTGTTTTGTCAACTATGCTTAGTCATTTGGGATACTTTCTTCATTTGCATAAATGTTTCACACAGCTGTTTTAATTGGGGTGTAGAAGAGGCAGGAAGAGAGTTGTTTTCAAAAAAAAGTATGTTCATATAAATTTAAAAATTTCTGCATATGTGGGACAACTTTGTCAATATACCTCAAATTTGGCTTTGGCTTTTTTTAAGGAAGTTGAAGTATTTCCGAATCAGTTAAGAACTAATTTTCAGGATCCGATTGTACCTGTGAGGCCTTAACAACTCGTTTGTCCGAGTTAATTGGTAATAAAGGCCCATTATGGGAAATCATTTCCCAAAATATTCCAACTCGTATTTGTCAATCGAAGTAATCTCAGAGCGATTATTTTATTCAGTTTGCTGCTGTTGCTATAAATTTACTCTTACATATTGAGTTTCTTACTGGAATCAGCCGGATCGTTCGGTCAGCATGGGTTCACCAGCATACCTGAATAGTTTTAAATTATCCTAATGAAGTCATTGGTTAGAATCATGGAGGTTGGAAGATTTTTGGAGTATAAATATAATAATGTTTGAAAAATTTCAGTTATTCCATGACAAATTTTGAATATGTTGATTTGTGTAATTGGAAGAAAATGGATGCCCCTTATGAAAATGTCGATCTTACGACAGCGATTGGTGCTCAGACGGAGAAAGAACGCTCCGGCGTTTTTGTTGGCTTCTTACGCAATCTCTTCACTGAGCGGAAGTGAATTTTTTCAATGAACCGTTGATGCATTTCATCATCACGTTTACGTTAATAATCCACAATGCTTAATTTTTTTTTTTTTTTTGAAGCTAAGCCGCGGTGTTTTTGCATAAGTTGAAATAAATGCAAGGAGATTGAGGTAGCATGTTTAATTCCAAATCAAATTCAATTTAAATTTAACATGTTTCAGAGGTAAGCTGTACGAGGTCGTAGCAGAATGGAAGCAGACGAAAATTACTCCACCAGTTTCTTCGCGTCGTCGACGTCCAGCAAGAAGATCGAAGAAACGTAAATACAAAATGCCGAATAAAGTAGAGATTGTAAAGTTATCGAAAACAGCAGTTCCGGAGGAGATATCAGATATTAGTCGACCATCTCTACGAGAGGATGATGTTTTGAGCATTATCTCTCCAGGGAATAGTGCTACAACTTCACAATCTGTTCGAAAACGGCCCATTCAACCAACAAAGGTAACTGAAAGAAAAAAAACGGAAAAAATGCGAAGAAATTCTAATAAAACAGGAGAATATCCTTACCGAGAATGATGATACCAGTTTGATCGAGTTGGATTATGTTGTTGATCCCGGTGAAAATTTGAATAGAAGTTCCGGAAGTGATGCTGATATTACGCTCAAAAATGTTACAAAATCTAGAACTACAGAAGCTGAATTAGCTGTGGGTTCTTTGCACAAAATTGGCGTTAGAGAAGGATTAATCCAGTGCAACGCGCCTTGTCCAGTTATGGTAAATTCAACGAGGAAATGGACTATTGAAGAGGACCGAAAAATCCTATATATCCATAAGGAAAACGGGCCTGATTTAGATCTTACACTGGCATCAGTACAGTTAGAATTACCTGAAATTCCTGTTGATGAATTAAGGAAAAGGTTGACGTTTTTGTTGAGCATTCTGGAACGTATGGAAGGCAGTAGTAGCAAGTAAATAAATGAAACTTGCGGCCTACTTTCTTTTTTATTATGCTGTAAGATTCGCAAAATCGTGACTATTAAGGCAACTTGTGGATCAAGTGTAATTTGAAACTTGTTGACAAAAAAACTAAAGCTTTAATATCTGGATTTCCTGTACATTTATTTGTTGATCTCATTTTCATTTCTTTTTTTCTGTTTTTCGTGTTTGCCGGTGAATTCCTAGCGAATTCAAGATGTCACACTGAATGTGTGTCTTTTACAATGGCTAGTGTAAGATCCAGAAGTGAGATCTATATTCAACTGTTTTTCAGGAAGAGCAGCATTATTTGGTGCTAAAATCTGTTCCTTTTGAGAAATCCAAATTAGCTTTTTTCTTTTTCAGGAATAGTTTGGAATTCCAAAAATATCCACTTCGACAACTTAATAACTTTTCAGGTTGAGATCATTACAAAGAACTTTTAGTTTGCAGGTTGATTTGCTTACTAACTTTGTATTAAACCTTCACATTTAAGATATTTCATGGATTTCATTTATATGCCCTGTTGTCCTTATATCCTTATGTTTGTATTCCAAAATTAAATACTTTGTTAGTCGATTTTGAAACATTATGATGCTAATATTTTTCTCAGAGCAAAAGCATCTTTCAAAGTGTCGTTTCTGGATAAGAAATTACGGTGGTGCTAGTTGTATCACTTGCTTATGTAGGTAGTTTGAAGAATTAAGAAGAGGTTTTATGAGTTTCTCAGAATATAACTTTTCTCCTCTTGCAAAAAAACATAGAATGGAAATTTTTATAGAGAAAATGGGAATGATAGTCACTGTTTCTTTTGCATTTTTTTCTTCTGCTTGTAACCACCCTGTGGTTCGTCGCTTTTTTGTTGTTCATAATGATTAGGCGGTGGTGCTGGTGTCTTTTGTGGTCGAGGTGGACACGGACAGTAAAGTGCATCTTTCCCGGGCATTCCACCAATACCAGACTGAAAACAAATAGAAAGTCCTGAAACTTGATCTCAGTAGCTTCAGAAATACTGATACCGGAGAAGGATTTGAAAAAGTTTTTTTTTGAAAAAATTCACTTACAATGCCTGGTTTTCCATCTCTCCCATCACGTCCGTCTGCACCAGGTTTACCATCTGGTCCTGGTTCACCGTGTGGTCCGGGTTCTCCATCCTTACCGTCATCACCTTTAGGACCTTCTGGTCCGCGCTGCCCGGTTGGTCCTTTTTTGCCTTGCGGTCCGGTCCCGCGTTTTCCATCCTTGCCATCGCGACCCGGCTTTCCCTTTGGTCCATCAGGCCCAGTCTCACCAGCATTACCTTTTCGCCCAGTTGGACCTTTTTGACCTGGTTTGCCGTTCTTTCCTGGAGCACCAGGAGGACCATTCGGTCCAGGTGGCCCTGTCGGACCTTCTGATCCGGGTGGTCCCTGTTCGCCAGATGGACATTCGATACAACCGCCCGGAATGTTGTAGGTTGCTAGCAAAGTAACGCCTGGTGGTCCGGGCATACCATCTTCTCCTGGCAATCCATCTGCGCCTTTCTCGCCAATTTTGCCACGTGGTCCTGGTGGTCCTTCTGGACATTTCTTAGGTGATAGCCCACAATCTAAAAAAGTTCTGTCAAAATCGAAGGACTGTTTTAGATTTAAAGTGATTTCGATAAAATTGGTGAAGCAGTATGATTAAAGCAAAACTTACTGCATTGATTATTCTGCCTTTTGGCTCGGAATATTGAGCTAAGCGTGAAAGGTGCTGTCTTTATAGCACCATATGGATTTACACTTGCGTATGTGATTTCACGCCATGTGTCCTCTGCTGTTGTCTAAAGATACATGTTTTATTCAAATTGAGTACTGCACTAAATTATTTAGAATTCTTCAGTGCTTTCATGTGATATTCTTCCTCCCGTTTTTTAAATGCTCTTGAAAACTCACTCGGAATTCTTCCATTTCTATCACTGCATTGGTATACAGCTCGCTGATGTCATGGAAGATGAGTACAACAACAATGAGCGACAATATAATAGCACAAGAACTGCCAACCGTTGTCACAACAAACACTGTTTTCATGTTTTACTCTAAAATGAGATAAATTTTAATAACTCTGGAGCAAGGAAGGGAGTCTTCAGTGGTTTACTGAATCTAAGGAAGTTGGTAGTCAGCGAATTCTACGCTTTTGGAACTGCTGTAGGTGCAGGGTATTTTTTTGAGCAATAAATTTTATTGAGATAGAGTCAGGAAGCCAGGGACGTGTATTATTTGATTTCGGGGGACAGAATTCCGAAAGTTCGTCTGGAGAATGATGAGTTCTCGAGGAGAAAGAAAAAGGTGTTTGTATATATAATGCTTGAACAATAAACAATCTCCTGTTGCTCTACAATTTTTTATTTGGAATGAGTGACCCAGAAAATCAGAATTTTATAAGAGAACCAACCCTTCCAATGCTTCTAATGCAACTGATAATCAACAAACATTTTATTGTTGCAGCCAAAAGAACAAGAATAAAATTTTCTTTGGTGTGATCACAAACTGCTCAGCATTGTAAATAATACATTTCTGCCATTTTATACTTGTCAACTGGATGATTTAAAGTGGAAATTATCGTCCCGAAATGAACCTTTCCTGTCATTGATAACATGATGCTTTTAATTTTCTTTAATCGCTGAAAATGAATGAGAGAGATTGTTGATTAGGTTGGAGAGAATTTACTGTGATGTTTTCCACAATGGGTTTCAGCAGGTTTCTTGTAAATGAAGAATTTTGATCATAAAGTTGTGTAATATATTTGCAGACTTGTTTACGATTGAGTAAACAGCAAAATAAATGTGAAACTTCAAATTTCTGTAAATGAGAAATCATTCGTAACAAACGGATGCGATTATTATAGTAAGGCCAACTGTCATTTCAGTGGAACTGTTGCAGTGATGATGTGCGGTTCAAATATGAAGGTGAAGGTAGCTTGAGATGTATTATGTTTTGGGTGAGGGAATGCTTATAAGCGTATGAGGAATGGATTAAAGTTAAAAAGTTGAAAAAAATGTTTTAAAGGAGCTTTCTGGATTGATTTGTCGTAGCATATGATAAATTGCTAATGAATGCCTTACTATGGTACAAAGCAGCGCAGACATGACAAGCAACTACAGTATCAAGTAATTGGAAATTAAAGTTTTTTTTTCATTTCTTTGCATGAATGAAAAGGCAATATGAAAATCTGTTAGAATTCTGCAGGAAAATCTTTATTTGCAAATTGATATTGCAAAAACACTAGAAGGCAAATAGTAGTCGAGAAAGCATTTTAAATCAGTTATCCTGTGTTTTCATCTAGTAATCAGTAACGTGAATGATTTTTCACTGTACTACCAGATATTGGGCATATATGGTGACGATTGAAGGAAGTGTGTTAGTAACATTAAAGTAATATCTTGTCAAAACTTGAATAACAAGCTAGATTTGGGTGTAAATTCCAAAAGTTCAGCACAATTTTTGGATTTATTTCATTAAATACAATTTCAAAAACATCTTTCGAAGTTGTAACAGAAACAACGCAACTTTTCCTTTGAAAAAAGAGTGAGTAGTGGAGTTTCTTTATAATAAATAATTGAGATTCTGCATTGTAACATTATTGCTCCTGCTTCTTCTTGATTATTATCACTTGAAATTAGCTTGTTTCGTTTAATATAATTTATAACTCATTCATCTGTTTCAAGATCAATTTCCCAGAGACAAATGAACATCATGCAACAACAACTAGAAAAATCAGAATGGCAGATAATACGACTTCCAATCAATATCTTCCTATCAGTTGTTTTTTTTTTTTTTTATCGTTTAAATGAGAAAATATTGGTTACTACCAAAAAAGTTACGATTTCCTATTGCCATAGTCGTATCCTGTCGTTTCCATCCTCTTAAGACCAGAGGTCCACATTATCCCACTCGTCTTATTTTACCAAACTGTTTCAATATCAACTGGTCATGCTGACATCCCACCTTCGTTCGCTCGCTGGACCATCTAGACCTATATGACCCTGACCAGTTTCGAGATTTAATGGTCATCGAAAGCTGTGATGTCTGTTTTCCTCTGGTATGCAAAAGATCTTTAGATCCCAGCGGTCATCAGTAGTATTTGGCATAAGGACAGTCGATGTAAGCCAGGAATATTATAAATTACCGGAAATTTTCGGATTTATATACCTTGTTCTTCTAGCAAAATAGGTGTCTATTTAATTTGTATCCACAATCTATTATATTTTTGTTTGTCCTTAATTCTATCGAACAACTCGAAAATCAAAATTTACACGCTTTAATTGTTTCCGTTAAATTGCACTAAAAAAACTACCGCATGAAAAATTCTGCTCAAAAAGCGATGAAAGATCTTGTGGAGATGTCAACAAACTAATATTTCTGAGTAACTATTCCATAATACTTCAGAATTTGTCATTCTGAACGAATTTGTAGTACTTCGGTCAATTAAGGAAGTGGTTAAGGAAGTCATTTAAGGAAGTTAGTTCCTCCTATAATTAAGCTAGAGAGAAAAAAAAGTGTAGAAGCTATGTTCAGACCAACCTCACCTCACTAAAAGGCATTTGTTGGAAGTGACACATATATCTATAACTTGAAATTGTATATCCAATCAGCAAATGAACAATCACGGAATTATTCATATGTCACTTATTCGCAAAGATAGAGAAAGCTGAGTGATTAGTCTGAAATAACCACCGTTTTTCAGTTTTAGCAAAAAGGATAATTCAGAGCCAATCAGAGGAATTATTTAAAAAAAAGAATTGTACGTATTCTTGAAGAGGTCCTAAGCTTTCAGAAAACTGCAAATCAGAGATATTTTATTTTCCGTAATGATATCACTATCAAGAACGATTGGATTTCAAATGTCTTTTCACGTTTTTGGAAATCTTACATGTTTCTTCGGAAGTCTACAAGTTCTAGATCTTTGAGCATGCAATGACAAAGGGATTAGCTGCACGTATGATATCCTAAAATCTTCCAAATTTCATTTCATTTGTCCTACAGCCACAACTGTACACACTTCTCTGTTTCTGTTTGATTTAATAATTTGCAAATTGAAAAACTGAAAAATTCTCCACTGAAAAATTTCTAATTAACGTTTTGCATGAAACAAAAATTGAATCATTTTATCTCAACAGAAAACATAAAATATTCTATTTTTGTTTAAGGCATGTCGAACATTCGTCAACAATTAACTGACAGTTCAATTTTTCCACTATCCTTTTTGATTTTTTTTTGCAAAATAAGGTAGAAATTTATGTTAACGCATATTTTCCTTTGAACTGAGAGGAGCGTTACTAAACGAAAATGGTGATGATTGTAGAGGAGGGAAATTGGAGTATTTGGTGCTCATTAGTAAAAGGTTCTAATTCTCCACTTTGTGCTTACAAGATTAGAATCATTTGGTCGCGTGGGATTCTTGCAATGATTAAACAGCTTTTATGAGAAGAATTTCATGCAAAACGGCTATTCCAGAATTTTCAGTACTTGTGCTTACAATTATTTAGATATAACCGGATTCCCTGTTAAGCATAGGAATCCGCTAAAAACTTTCCCATTCCCATATTTAGTAATGGTTGATTTCATATCACTTACTATTTAATATTATTCACTGGACTCAGAAGTCGTGGGCACTGTAATAAGCCAGACGCATAGGGCCCCAGTTTTGGAGGTCTTTTTTGAAAAACTCCAATATTTTCAAATTCTATTAAGAACCACAATATTATCATACCAAAAAAGCAATTTTCAAAACCACAGGAAGCCTATAATTTTCCGATCCTGCCGAGCGATCACAGCTGTAATCATCTAGCGAATTTGCCAAAACAGGTTTTTTAGGACTTTTAGTTTCTGTTTACTGTTTTACACTCTTTTAGGTCTAAAGCTCGAAATAACACCCTCTCAATTGAATTCCAGAGAGTTGAACTGCCAGAACCCTGCTCACATCCGATAAAGATCGACCTAATTCCCTACGAAAAAATACGGAATAGATCAGATTAGCATAACATTTAAGCCTTTTTTCTTTGAAGAAACTAAAAACCATGAAATAGGTTTGCTGTAAATTCGGGACTTCATAGTCACCTGGATTATATGGATACCTGACAAGCCAAAGTTTGAAGTCTGTTCTACAGTGGAGTCTATGGTAGTATCAAAAGAGTGTTCAGGGTATCCTTACTGTCACTGAAATTTGTGAACTACATTAATATTACAAAAATTCTATGTAATCTAGCTTCGTAAATCCTGTTAGAAATCCATTGGTATTTATCTCCGATGCGCCAAAAAATGAAACTGTAAGCGAAATATTTATTTTGAGAGAGACAATAATATACAAATTACCATGAATATGCAGATGTAAAACCAAATTACAAAATTAGGATTTTCAAATTAAATTTCACTGTTTTCCCGGAAACCAGATTTCTTTGGAGAGAGGGAAGTAATGCATTAAAATCCCAAATAAATACGAAAATAACAACACAAAGTTTCATGTAGACACACTCCTGGTATTCACCATTCTCATCAATATTTCCTTGATGGCAAACATTTTCTGAATTTTATTCGGAGAAAGAGAAATTTTTAACGGTCAAACTCAGCTTGGAAGCACGGAAATATGTTTGATAAAAAGAAACTAGAAAAGTTTAACTTGGATGTCCTCAAAAGATAATATGGAACGCAGTTTCACGCAATTCACTTAGAAATTTCTCGCTAATGATTTAGGTTAGTCTTGGGTAATGTTCACGAAAATGTAGAAATTTTAATTTCAGAAAACGAATACCCGCAAACAAGTAAGAGAAAAAAAGTAAAAGAACACTATATCATAGATTTTTTCCTCGTCCTGGATAAAGGGTTATCGGAACTCAATCTTAGTTCAAATCTAACGAGCTTAAATTTCCAGTAATTACTTTGAAATCTTCAGACATGCCTTGCTCCGCATTTGTATTCAGTTCAATGGGTGTACGTAGACCAGCAATACCACGAACATCACCATCCAAGCTAGGGTCTCCTTCTTCAATTCGTTTTACTGGACGAGTGAATTTACTTCCCCTACAGAAATAATAGAGGTTGCTGACATTGCATGCAAACATTATGATAATGCAAACGTTCTTACCTCATCAACTAACCGAAGTCTAAGTTCAAGTTACTAGATCTAAGTTGCTTTTTCCATAATATTACACTATAAAAATTTCTCTCCATTTAACTTTTCTTTATAATCAGTTTTAGTAATTTTCTATTCTCAGAAAATTTCGATGTTACGCATTCAGTACAATTAGAATGGAACGCTAATACCTTAATACAGCAAAAAATGGAACGCTTAATACAGCAAATTTTCCTGCGCCATCAATGGAAGAAAATCAAAGAAACTCACAATTCTTTTCTGTACTGAAACATATTGATAAAATTAATGCAAAATAAGCTGCCCGCAATGAGTAAATCAATGCTATGTAAACCGTGCTGATAAGCTTCTTCTATTTCGCTTTCGTGTCGACGTTCATAACGCCACCAGCCTCCATTACGAGCCTAGACAAACATGTTAACTGTGATACAATGCTAATACTTTAAAAAAAGTATCGTAAATATTTCTCTGAAACGGATAACAGTTCTCTATGATTTACAGCTTTATTTAGAAAACCATGATGTAACAATACAATACTTACTCCGTAAAACCACTTCACTTTTTCCGCATTCTTCCGACTAACAATATTTTCCGCCACAATGCTTATTGATTTGGCAGAAGTAGCTATTCCGACTGTTGTTGGCTAAAAGTAGTCAAGTAATTGGCGAAGTTTCAGTAGTCGATTGGACTGACTACTTAATGCAGAATATGGATTGCTTGGAGATTCACAATTAAGAAAAAACAACGAACCTGACCAGCAAGCGTTGCAAGCACTGGGTCAAGAAATATATTACAAGGAATGCTTTTTCGACATAGTGGACATGCTCCCTGTCTCAGAGCCGCTCCTTGAATTTACTGGACGTTGAAAACTCAATAAATTAATCACAATGGATAGATGTGAAAGTCCTTTCCCGTTTACCAAATTTTGATGCATATATGATCTTCAATGAATAGATATCATGGACACTTCCGCGAAACAAACCTTTGATGCATAAAAAACAAAACTTGTGTCCACAGTCAGGTAATTCAGTCTTGTATGCAAATTCCTGATAACAAATTGGACATTCGTCACAGTTTTTTGGCCGCCTTAGGGAATCATCGACGTCAACGATCGGTCCTTCCATTTCTTCAGTTCTCCCTTCCTTTTCGTAGTTCATTCCGATTGAAAATTTTTGGGCCAGTTATCCGTCTAGAATATGAATCTAAGTCGAATATTACTAAGAAACGAGCTGTAAGAAATCAATGGAGAGATCGACATGTTAAAACGTCAAAATGACGAACCATTATTGCCATGAAGATTATTATTAATCAATAAAAATTAAAAATGCACAGACGTTAACTAATAAAACGATTCGCCTGTAAAACATGAACTAATTTAATTTCACTAACTTCCGAAATGTCACTTAAACAAAACTTTTGATGAAATACCATGCCGTTTCATTAACAACTTGCCATTATACCATCTCCAAGAATATCTCTACCTGGAATTGAGATATTGTATTACTTCTACATAACAACCTAACTTTTCATTAAAGCGCAATCGCAAATCGCAATGCGACAAGTGACCGGGAATGCAAATAAACGTTCAAGGTGCTAATCCAACCAAAAACCTAGGCGATTTTATGCTGCTATCTACGCGGTTGTGTTCCTTCACTCCACCTTGTCCCCATTGTCAGCTACGGTGTCCTATAGGTGTTTTGCTCTGGGCGTGTTAGGATCGTTGTTTCATGACGCATGGTTGGGGGGGAAGGGGGGGGAGGGGGAGAGGTGGGCTTTGCTTGGTTAGGATCTGTTAAATTATGTTGCCTGAAAAGCATTTTTCAGTGTGCGCTCTGAAAAGTATTCCTGAGGTTGTAACATTATGGACTTAGTATTATACTATTCTGGATGCATGTATTTTAAATATAGACACTTATCATTTTTGTGCCTATATTTCTCTAAATGAAATTGAGTTAGAATGATGAACTGATACCTGTCATATCTTCGGTAACCAATAATTTAAGCTTCAGGTGTTTGTCATAAGCTAAGTGTACTTTTACGCGATACTTCTGGAAAATTCACAACGCTTTAGCTGCCATATCGCAAATATTTGTTGCTTATCGAGAGTAAGGGCAGCAGTTCTTTACATTGTAACATATCTTGTTTCAGCTCTGGATATTGAACACAGAAAAGCACGGAAGAGGAAGTAGTAAATCGTGGTATATTGCTGAGCAGTGGAACTCAATCATTTGTAAACATGGTTAGATTGCAGTTTTGTTCCAGTTTACTCTTAAGACATTGTACGTCAGGTTTCGTAATTGTTAATTTTGTTCAGGCTGGCGTACCTTATAAAACGGAGAAACCTATTACTCTCGACAATACTGAGCATCGCATTCGTATCACTCTCACTTCGCAGAATGTGTATTCGCTGGAGAAAGGTATAACATTATTCCTGTTTATTTTTCTGCTATTGATAAATTGTAATGTATTTTGAGATGTTAGGTCGTGTTTACATATCCCTATCGATAATGTACTTGGTATAAGAGCTGAAAGTAGGAGGTAGTAATTGTTTTATTCAAAAGAGAATAAACGGGATTGAGATCTTGCATGGTAGAAGTGAAAGAAAGTTCAGCAATAACTAAATTGGACTAAATTTGGTTCAGTCGGCACGGATAGTTAATACATTTTAACCTTTATACATATCATAAGTTTTTAATTTTTCTTGGATGTCGAGCTGCTTACTCCACTTTGTTTATGGGATAAAACATTTATGAGATAAAGGTTACGGACTGATAATGACAGGCAGGAGGGTTCTATACAAATGCCGCAAGCAGAACTTTAGAAATTTCGAACATTTATGTGAATTGATTGTTTGCTGAAAACATAGCGTTATAAATAAGAAGTAGTTAGATTTTCCAAGAAAATGCAGGCAATGTTGCGTAATGGAGTCGTTCGAAGTTGGAGAGTGTTTTCCACCGAATTGGAGTAAATACCTCAATATCCAAAAAAATAAATTAAAAATTTGGGATAACGTTAGTGGGGAATAAAATGCCAAAGCGGGTGTGATGTAATTGCATGGAGGAATTTCCTACGTAAAAAAAATTATAGTTTGTGAACAGCTTATCAATGGAGCAAAAGAAAAGAATCTTGTTGTGAAAGGACCAATTCGCATGCCTACGAAAATACTTCGTATCACAACACGTAAAACACCGTGTGGTGAAGGCTCAAAAACTTGGGATCGGTTCCAGGTTTGTTTGTTCTGGCTTTTTTCATCGAAGATTTATGTTGCTTGTCAAAGTTATAAAGCTGAAACAAGTTGAGGAATCAGATCTACAATCATTGCCAAATATCGACCATTTCATGTGGACTCTAGAATTCCTTCCATTTCAACTTGCTTGTTTAAGATGCGGATCCATAAACGTCTGATCAATATGCATAGTCCAAGTGATGTATTGAAACAAATAACAAGTATTTCGATCGAACCTGGTGTTGACGTAGAAGTTACTATCAACGATTCCTAATTTGTCGGAAAATAATTGTTGTGCGACTGTGAAAGTCTGGAAATAGACTAATTTTTATTTATGATGTCACATAAGTAAATGACGTTACTAGTTGTTGTTATGGGAAGAGTGATTCATTCGAAGTTTGTTTTGTCTTTGATCTTGTTTTTTTAAAGTAATAAATGCAATTTTTTGTCGTTCATCATTTTTTATTCTGTACTGATCAGTAAAGGAACCTTGTTTTAGTACGTCTGGTTGTATTAATACAGGACGTGAGATGTAATGGGTAAGGTGAGATTTGTGAATTTCGAGATCCTGCTTATTATTTTTCATGACAAATGAGGAAAAACAGTCGCTACACAACCAAACTGCCTGCGCATTAGTCTGTTCTAACCCTTCATTACAGACAGCGGTTGCGCGGTATTTCCATTAGTGAGCACGTAATGTATACATTTAACGTTGAGAAGTGTGAGGTCTCCATATTCTTGAATGCATCCAAGATCTCTTGAAAAGTGTACGAAGACTAAAGTTTGTTATTCCTCGCGATATACGGCAGGATAGCTGAGATGGACTTGCAAGAAGCAATTTCAAAGTCATTCAAAATCCTGTGGGTTTTAATAGACTTCAAGTATTGTTATGATTACACAGTTGAGTCTCAACCATCTTGACTTCTATTCCAGGGTTTTGACCTTTGCTTTTCAGGCTGACGATCGTTGTATAATTTATACCGAATATATTCAATCTGCTTTTGGCAGCCATCCCTGCCTTTTGATTTCCCGCTAATCCTTGAGCAGGGACCACCTTAATTCATTTTGAAAGGAAGGAACATTTATGAGATAAAGGTTACAGGACTGATCAAGACAGGCAGAAGGGTCCTGCACAAATGCTGCGGACAGAAGTTTAGAAATTTCGATTATTTATGTGAATTGATTGTTTAGTGGAAACATGGCGTCACAAATAAGAAACAGTTATGATGCAGAAACGTTCTGAGAAAATGCAAGCAATATTGCATGATATTGCACGATGGGATCGGTCGAATGCGGCAGGTGTTTTCCAGCGAAATGGAGTAAGCACCTCTACATCCAAAAAAATAAATTAGAAATTTGGGATGACGTTGAATGAAGACGATCTTTGCTCCCAATTATATCACACTAGTGAATGACTGAATCTGTTTGTCTCTCATTTCTTCTCCATCTTTACACTTCCTCTTTTTTCAATGTTTTTTAAAGTAATTTTGCAATCAAAGGCCTTCACACGTTCCTCCTTTTCACTCGATATTTTGTTGAAAATACGTCACATCAAACAATAGAATGGAAAGGATCGGGGACAGTACTGCAGGAATCGTCGTTTCACGGCCCTGTCATTCACGTGCTAACGTTAATAGACGTGTTTTATTAAATACATCTGGCAGACTGGAAAACTATGCTTAATGACTGTTGCAAGCGGGGATATTCAGTGAGATACTGAAGGGCTGTTCAGTCCTGCCAACGACAGGTTACCCGCTGACCTTTCACCCTGACCGACCAACTCCTAGCCCCGCCAGCGTTATCGAGACAGAGAGAAGTATCCAGAACTCCGAAATGAAGGTTAAGAGGAAGAGAAAAAAGAGGAGAGAGCCGAGGGTTCGGATTAGCTCTTTGTATCGTGCGCATGCATCTGTGTGTCTGATGTTTATTTGAAAGTGGGTGAGAAGTGCAGGGAGGGAGAGAGCGGGAAAGAGAGAGTGTGCATGCGAGTTCTGTCGCCATTTTCGTGTGCTTTGCTAGAAGAATGTTGTGAAGAAAATAGGACAGCGCGTATCGGATGGGTGGAGTGCGTGCCTCGGATGAGTCTACACCCAGAAGAGATAGTGCCGGCAAACGAGAAATAGGGCTTGAGCAATGCCTCATCCCACGAATGGCATAGCTTCTCAGAAACAAACAACCGTGACGCGTGGTTCCTCCGCGCCGCACGCACAAGATGAGCAGCTGCATGGGGAGTGAATATCGCCGTTTGATTGTGACAAGCTGATGGAGTGATGGGTCCCTTCGAAGAACGGTCGGCCGTGAAGTGAGAGAGAGAGAGGAAGAGAAGAGGACATACATCCAACGGGCTGTATGCGGTCCGTTGGATCCTTTCCTCAGGGACCGATCGTCCCGCCGAATACTAATGGTAACCTGAAATAAACCGAAGATTCACCGCAAACGGGTCCTTGGCTCGGATCGATTCACCTATGTTAAAACATATCGTGGCTATGATATGTGTGTGTGCATGTCTGTCTGTCCGTCCGTCTACTGCTGGTGTGGAGTGGGGTGGGATGGGATGGGATGGGCTGGGCTGCATGGCGCTCCCTTTTCCATTGCTACTACTGCCGATGTTGTGCTGCAATATGCCGAGCAGAGCAGTATAACGATGGACGATGGGAAGGCACCAAGTCGAAGGATGCAATATTGAGAGGCTCGGGTATATGTCTGTCGCCGAAGGTCGGTTTCCTTGGTGGCACCTGCCCACCTCGTTCATCTATTGAGCTCTGGTCGTCGTAGGTTGGTAATCATTTCGAAATCCTAAAGTATGGGATGGGAAGAGCACTGAACTGAAAGAAAGGAGATGACAAGAGAGGATGGACGATTGCTTTTGCTGAAGATTTACGGGAAGGTAAGAAGGAAACGGTATGTGATAGCCGCGCCAACAAAAATTTGAACTTTTCAGATCGGGAAAATTTCCACTACAAGCCACTGAGGGCTTCCTCTCAGGACTCAACCAATAACCAATCATCCATAACGACAGTGTCGTTTGACCCGAAAACCGAAACTTTTCCCGAAAATTCACCGTTCCTTTTCTCTACATTTCGGCTGCTGCAGCCGTTTGTTGCTGTTTATTAGCTAGCTATTCTTTTATCTGTGCACCATACTACTATCACTAAGACTATCATTCATCACAGCATAGTTGCTATCCCTTCCCCATATCGTTGTCACTATCGCTACCCTCCGTACCGTGATCACTACCTCCATTACGGCGTCTTAATCGTCATCAATTTTCACTGTCGCTAGAATTATCGTGTTTTAAAACTCATCCCCCGCATTTTCTTGTACTGGGGAAGGGTCACGTAGAAGAAAAACGTGAATTGTTCTATCTTGAGCAGTGAACTGAAACCAAAAAAATATGTATTATGTTATTGGTAGAAATGTAATATTAACATAAGGTGACGCTACCCACAGATATATTACTTATATATCTCCTTTTTGTCCATATCATTTTCAAACGCATTTTATGACTCGGGTGTGCTCCGTACGAACAAATGTAATGAGCTATTCTAGGATCATCAATTTTGTGCCATATCAAATCTGGAATATAACTGTACAATTTGTGTAGGATATGCAAATATAGATCGACCGGGAAAAGTTGCAGGCATCTGCACAACGTATAGGCAGCCCTCATCCATGTCAAAAATTCACGACCCTTACCTTTTCAAATGGTCTCACCTCATTCGCTGGTTTGCTGAGCTTTATACGTCTTAATAGACTCCCATTCGTTTTACCAATTGCTTATACACATAGACACCAAAAGAGTATGCATTATTTCGTTTTTCGTCAGTATATTTTTTTTTGCCTTCAAAATTAACAAAAGCAGCAGTTCGCAACTCACAAATGTTTTGAATCTTCCTAGGTACGTGGTGTATGTGTAGAGAATTACAGGTATGAGTATGTACGTATGTAGTTTATTCTTTGGACCTTTTATGGTAGACTATTTCTATGCCAGGAAAGTGCAAATGCCATTTTTTATAGGTCGAAAAATTATTCATTTCACAGGCTAATTAGAATTATTCATCTCATATGGAACGCAGCTTCCTTTTTCCTACTAATGTGCGTTGGTTGCAAAATGTGAATTCCGCATGTGGAATACCTATATTAGTGTCGTATTATGTATATGTATACATATATATGCATATGTATATACACATGTGTATATACGTAATACATGAATACGTGTCAGTAAATATTAAAATTTGACGGAACTTGAGGATTTAAGGGATGGCAAAATGCCCGACGCTTGTGACTTCATGGTTACATCAAGAATGTGTTTATGTTTACTTATGAGTTCCAGTGAGTGACTTGACTGCTTTAGCTGATGTTCCCACTTTTCTGACGAAATCGAAATGCAAGAATAAAAGGGAAAGTCGTTATCCGTTCAGCATTCAGAACTCGAGTCATTCCTTTCCTGAAGTATCCGTAAATTTTTTGTGCATCTACACACACACACATGGCTTGTAAACTCTACTGGCAAAAGGTAGAGTTTATAAGTGAACTCCACTGGCAAAGATTATACCGTTGTATGGAAGTGCATTCAGCTTTTTAAGAACAAAACCGACTGTTTTGATGGTTGCTAGTACAGTGAAAAAGGGTTAGATGTAGCGTGTCATAATGTGAAATGGTTGATAGCATGATAAAGATGGACGGATTATCATGTACGGTGAATTTCATACTGTGCCCTTTGCAATACCTTTGGAGTGATTTTTCATGTGTAAATTGTATTTAAGTGCATCCATGTTCTTTCAGCTGTTTTGATTAACCTTCTTTTCGAGAATTCTTTAATTTCGAAATATAGTGATGCTAGCATATCAAGGTCGGATACAGTTTTCCTTTATAGTATGATCCTGCTCAAAGAAGAATCTTCCCATAAAATTACCTCTCGACTTTGAAAAGGATATACGAAAAACTGCCGGCTTGGGCGAACACATCATAATTAGGTAGCAACCTGCAGGAAGCAACAGTTGAGAAAAAAAGTCCATCTTAAAAACCTTTTATATCCGTTGAAGAGTAACCATATTAATTGTTATTGTAAGGTGGGGATCTGTAACGTTGTATAGGAGGTCTTCTTGACGCTTGACGAATGTAGAGTCTTCTTAAGGCTTTCCCGGTTTGTCTTTGGAATCAGCCGTTGTCTTTGGAATTCTTTGTTACCTGTAGATGTCAGATTTCTCCCGTTTTAATATTTAAATTGGCCCCATAATAAACATAGCACTGGTTATACCTACGTAGTTTCGTTGGCACATTTTCAGAAATTGAGCAGAATTTTGTGTATTCTGAATTCTCACTACCATTGGTATTTCTTTTGGGCACTGATATACATATATGTGTGCGTTAGCACTTGCGGTTGTTCTTTCAGTGTTACTATTTTTTTGTTGTGCGAATGCTAAAAAAACGAATGAGAAATTACGGATGGAAAAAACAAGCATGCAGCACCATGATTTGACGTCATGTGGAAGGGTGGGAATGTGTATTTTTCTTGTTTGAATATCAACCCGAGGATGACTAATTGCTACAAGTCAGTGTCAGTTCTAGCTGCAAAGGAAATTACAGATTTTTTTTACTTTTGAGATTTTGTGCGGAATGCAGTTGAATAGAATTATTTACTTTGTGGTATGTTGTTGCATTTTCCCTCCCGAACTACGGACGAGTAGATCCAAACTAGAAAGAAGTGACATCTTAGCATGCTGGTCATCTTGGATACTTTTTTCTGGAGGAACGGCCGATACTTCAGATGGAAATGGAAAAGATGACATTGAAGAAGAAATGTTGTGGTTTTGACGGTTTCTCGTAACAGCTAGGCCATGCAAAGAGGAAATTCTCAGAATTGTATGGAATTGTTTTGGTTGGAGACCATTTTCTCTCAGGCAGAACATCTACCATGGTCACTTCAATGGATGCGATTTCCGGAAGCATAGGATATGTTATAACATTTTGTATGCTGTAAAGATTCATTAAATTTTAGGCGCTGCGAAGTAAACTTGCAAAAAAGGTTACGCAGCATCGATATAATACTGCTTCATTACTAATATGATACAACTGTTACGCTCTCACCACCGTTTCATTACAACTGGTTGATTTCTCAACGTAACAACACTGTCACTCAAAACGGTTATTACCGCAAACCGGGTTCAAATATACAAGTGGATGATACTATCCGACGAAAGTTGCAATTTTTTTGACTGAAGGGTAAGTCTTACCATCTTTTGACTTATTTAGATAATCCCGAACTTCTATATTACTTCTGGACATAAATCAACAGTCCTAATCGTTGAAGTGTTCATTGCATATCCGTGTTAAGTTGGTGGTTTGGACTTCACGGTTTTTCAGTCTAACTAAAGGTTTTGGTTTTTTTCATGCTTTCGATACTCAACTTTTGCAACTCCCGTACTGGGATCACGTTAATAAGCTTAATCAGAAACACCATATGAAACACCATAGTGTTGATTGCAGAAATGGCAACAAATGCAACATCTCAAGGTACTTGTGCTGCTGAAATACCCAAATCGAGCAGTGAAATGTCACCTCAGGTAAATTGTCGCGATTAATGCAAATAGGAAAAAGCAAGTCTTAAATTGATCGAAGAGCTATCTCTGTCGTTGGTAGCGAGCTTTGGATGTAGATAATAATATAAAGGAAAAAAAAGCTTTGTTTGAGACACGAAAGTGTATTCATAAAGCAATCAGAGCAGTTGTGCAGGTTTGACATTTGAAGTTGAGACTGAGTGCGGTGTTAAGAAATTTAATAAAATAATCAAAGAAGTGGAATGCATCTAGTAATAGTAGTGCTAGTTATTCACACAGTTCCTAGGAAACTTTTTTCTGTATTTCGAGATCGTTGCTGATGACCAGAAAAGAGTTAGGATCTAGAGTATGCCTGACCATTTACACTTTACGGCACTGAAATCCGGCTTCAGATATCTCGTAACCGTCGATGTTTCTTGCTGGAATTATTTTGAATTACTTTTCAGCAGCAACAACAACATCAAACGGCGACACCAACGCTGAACAATTTACTCCGTAAGTTCTAAGAATAGGTTAGATTCCGACTTCGAGGTTGAGAGGGACAATGTTCCAGAATTGTTGACTTATATTAACAGATTATGAATTACCAAAATTTCCATGAAGCATGGTAAAACCTACTTTGGATATTTGTACAGCTTCAGGAACAGATGGTGCTGTTACGCCTGGGACACCAGTGTACAACATAGTGCCGCAAGGCACACAACTTCAGAATGTACAACAGCAAATGCAAATACCACCACATATTCAACATATGCTGGTTCCACCGCAGCCTAGCTTCTCGTCTTCGGTTTGTTTTAATAGTTTTAGACGCATTTGTTCGAATATTTGTGTTTCACTTTATGGAAACCGAGTGAATCACCTAAAAACTTCGGTAACGTTGGAGAAGTATTTCAGAGCTTTTAAACAATTACTGAATTTTCATAACATGCATAGGTAGAAATTATGAGTTGGAGGTTCTGGAATGTTCTCCATGCATTTTGAGCAGGCTGCTCGAGAACTTACGGATTAAAACGTCCGATTAGCGCAAAAAAGCCGGTGTCAGTTTAAAAATTGAAATACCTTGTGAGACGATCCATCATTTCCATTTTTACAAAATACTGGATGTACAGTAGAC